ATACACTTGGATCAGGGTGACACTAATTGGCCTTCCCTGTACAGGGATTGAGATGACTCTGTCACTGATATTATTGTATTTTAGTACCATCTTTGAGAGCTTATTGTTGAGGATAAAAGCCACACGTTTTTTTCCTATAAGTTTCAGTATCAGAGTAGCATATCCAATGTTCATTTGATTGAAAGTGTCCCTCTCCTGTCCATTTGAGACTTCTAATAAATCAGTTTTGACATTATCCATTTGATCTGTAGCAATTTCTAATTTTCCTTGGTTCATACTACGTACGTGCCATGTTCCTATGATGGTAATGTCTTTCCAGCTTTTGATATCCTTTTTCTGTCCAGCAACATCAACATCAGGATGTCCCATAGGCTTTGATCCATCAGCTTCATAATTACCAGGTTTACTGTTGGTGACTATCAGCTCTTCCCTAGAAGACCATCTTTCATCACTATACGAACGTTTTCTTATCATTATTAAGTTTTCTTGGCATAATACAGAAGTAGACTTTCTACTGCTCAGTGTAAGTTTGATGTTGTCACTGTTGTTACGTCAAATGTGATATTCCAACTTCAACACTGCCCGTCTGCTGGTGCTCAGATGGGTGGTACATGATCGGGTATCCCCGCTGGAATCTGTCCACCTTGGGAGGCCTTGCTGGTAGTTAAACTACCAACAGCATAGCTTTCAGCTTCATAGATGCAAGCTCCTGCGGCACAACAAACCAATGTACCTTGGCTATAGTTGATAAAAGACCACATATAGTTTTTGTTAGAATATTTTAAGCAATAACCAGCATGAATTCATGAAAGGCCAAAGTTTAAAACAAACTTGCTTTCTTATTATGAGGAAGTACGTAAAAACTTCACGTAAGATAAAGGGAGTGACTGTGGATAGAATACAGTATTTCCTAAACTTTACAAAAGTGTTTGACACTGTTGACATAAATGGCTTTGCGTTACAGTGCTGCGTTATTTTAACTGACAATTGCTCGGTCATACAACCCTACACCCAAATTAAATTTACGTCCTTTTTTTTCCCACGAATTGAGCTTTTTTTTGGTGGTATTTGATAGCAGTGCCCGAGTTTCCCAAATGGTCAGTCCGCCCAATCCCCAGTGACACCAATACAGTGATCAGTGTGAAAAAAAAGCACTGACACTGTACTAAGGGCACTGGGCAGGAAGGGGTTAACATGAGGGATGATCAAAGGGTTAACTCTGTGCTGTTTTACTTGTGTATGTGTGTGTGCTTTACACTGTAATCACACTGCTTTGCAAGTCTGTGCTGTGCACAGCCATCCAAAGCAGTGTGCATGAGCTGACAGGGAGGAGAACGGTATTGTTTACATATAGTTCTCCTCCCCTTCAGAGATGCTTGGCAATCACCGGGCGTCGGTGAGTAATCACCGGCCGAGACCCGGTGATTGACAGCTGCAGCTGCAAATGGCAGCGCGGGTAGAACGTGTGTGCCCCCTACCCGGAGATGCAAAATCATGTATATATACATGATTTTGCTCACCTGTGCCACCCTGTAGCAGTATATTTGCTATAGGGTGGTTGGGAAGTGGTTGGTGTACCCCAAGGTTTAGTTTTGTGATCCTTATTTTTTATTATACATACATATGATATAGAGTCTGGGAGTAAAAGTACCATTTCAGTGTTTGCAGATGACACCAAGCTATGTACTGGAGTAACGTCCTTACAGGATATCTCCAACTTGTAAGTAGACCTTAACTCGGTGACTAGGTGGCAAATGAGGTTTTAAAGTTGATAAATGTAAAATTATGCACTTGGGGACTCAATACATGCATACATTTTTGCATCCTAGGAGGAGTACAACTTGGGGAGTTAATAGTCAAGAAGGATCTGGTTGCTCTGGCAGACCCAATATTAGCATGCAATGCCAAGTTGCAGATTCAAAGGCTTTCTTTTATTAAAAGTATACATTTTGTACTTGTGTACCAGTAGATAATAAAGTTCTAACACAAATATATATTTGTGGATCTTTTACTGAACGGGGGTAAATAAGTCAGATGACAGCGAAGAGCAAATGTGCCTGGACTCTATCTACAGCAACAATACCCACCATAAATATAGTGAATCTACTAAATTGTGAAGATTCGTATGTTATACATTATAAACATAGCTTTTTAAAAAATTATGTTTATTAAACTATTAAAAAATGTAATGATGCAAATTTTGTAATTGGTCATACAGTATGAAACAGTAATTAACATTTTCTTTTTAAATATTGTGTTTCTTTTTTTTCCATAATCCACTATTAATGTTCACACTACTTTCCTTAAAAATATTTGTGTGCAAAATTTCTCAAAATTTCCTACATAAATTTGCTATGCAAAGGCATATTATGATAGTGTGTTTAGAGATTGTAGAGTTACAGATGATCTCCCAGATAGAAAGTTCTCTAACATGGATGATCCAAATTTCATCATTTTAGCCGCAGTACTGTGCAAAAATTTTAGACAGGTTTGAAAAATGCTGTAAATTAAGAATGCTTTCAGAAATAGATGATTGATAATGAACAGAAAGAGAAATCCAAATCAAATAAATATTTAGTGTGACAACCCTTTTCCTTCAAAACAGCATCAGTTTCTTCTAGGTACACTTGCTCACATTTTTTAAAGGAACTCGTTAGGTACCGTATTTTCGCTCCATAAGACGCACTTTTTTCCCCTCAAAAAGGGGGCAAAATGTCAGTGCGTCTTATGGAGTGAATATGGAGTGGCCGGTCCGGTATTTTCACCGCCGCCGTGTCAGAATACCAGGCCGGCCGCTCAGCTCTTCTCTGCAGCAGAACCTTACCTGTTGCTCGGTCCAACGCTGTGCAGTCTTCCCGCGCCGGCTTCTTTAGTGTGGGCTCCCGGTTGTGACAGCCGGGGACCCAGTGTGCATGCGCGAGAAGCGCTGCGCTTTGGAATGGTACGGCGTCTTCTGGGACATATGACAGGTCCCAGAAGACACCAGAACAATCACAAAGCGCAACGCTTCTCACGTATGCGCACTGGGTACCCGGCTGTCAGCCGGGTGCCCACACTAAAGGGAGGACAACTATGCAGAAGTGGGAGCGAGTACCTGTCAAATTCAGGTACCCGCTCCCCCTCCCTCCGCAAAGGTCAGCAGTCTTTTGTCATCCCCTGCACTGTCTGCAGTCTCTGGTCATCTCCTGTACTATGTCTGCAGTCTCTTGGTCATTTCCTGTACTGTCTGCAGTCTCTTGTCATCCCCTGCACTGCCCGCAGTCTCTGGTCCTTTCCTGCACCATGTCCGCAGTCTCTTGGTCATCCCCTGCACTGTCCGCAGTCTCTTGGTCATCCCCTGTACTGTCCGCAGTCTCTTGGTCATCCCCTGTACTGTCCGCAGTCTCTTGGTCATCCCCTGTACTGTCTGTCAGGAATGGACTAGCCAGCAATGGTGGGACTCACCTGCCTTTTGATCTGCAGTACCAGGGCTGGCCAGCGGGTGCTCCCAGCAATCAGAGACTCAACTTTGCAGCCAGCTAACACCTGGAACTGATTATGCTGGGGTATTTAAGGGATGGCCAGACTTGCAGACTCTGCCTTGGTGTTGTGTTCTTTTGGGCCCTGTATCCTGTTCCTGCTCTCTGTTCCTGTCTGATTCTCTGCTGACCCTGCTCTGATCCCTGGCTTGTCTGACCATCCCTCTGCCTGACCCTCTGTACTACGCTGCTTGCTACCTGTTCTGATCCCTGGCTTGTGACCCCCGACCATCCCTCTGCCTTACCCTCTGTACTACGCTGCTTGCTACCTGCTGAACCTGGCCTGTGACCCCGACCAATCTCCGCTTGCTCCCCCTGTACCTACCTGCCCTATTGATATTGACCCGGCCTGCCTGACGACGCTTGCTTGTATGTACTGTTATCTGTGGGTGGTTGGTTTTGGTTTTGGTTGCACTGTATTATGTTTTAGTATTGCACTGCGTTTATGTTTGTATTGTTAGTGTTAATAAATTATATTGTTTATAACATATCTGAGGTCTGCGTTTCCCTGCGTCAGCCACACACCTCTGGTCACACCTGGGAGCCCTGACATTACACCAAGGCCAATCCTGACCAGAAGTGGCTGCACAGGGAAGCCATCTTGGCTTGTTGCTGGGAAGGATGGATCTGGATGAGGTTGTGTATTTATATCTGCTGGTGTTTGATGACAGGGAGTATGCTTATCAAACTCTGAAGGAGTATCCCCGGGATGAACTGCTAGAATGTATACGGCTCGCTCATGTTCTAGTAGATCAGGGCACAGAGTTCTTTGAGGTGCAGCCTTTGATTGAGGTTTGTGCTGAGTTGGTTTCATCTGGTTCCCCCGAATGCAGGGATGAATTTTTGCCACCATTTAGTGCAGACCAGGTAGAGTCCCTGGTGTGGTTATTAGAGGATGATGTGGGTTACTTTCTGGAGCGTTATTCCACATGTTCACCACAGACACTAAGAGATTGTATAAACGCAGTGCAGTCATTGACCAGACAGGCTTTGTGTAAGCTCAGCTTTGTTCAACCCATACTGCAGACATGGACAGACTTGTTGCACCCAGCCTCAGTCAGCTTACAAAAACCCAGTCCTGCTTCTAACTCTACTCCTGTATTCCCACCAGCTCCTCCAGTTACAGCCCAGTATACTTGGCTATCTACCGCATGTCAGTACCCTGTTCCCACTCGCTGCACCTATCCTGCCTTTAACCCCTGTAAAAAAGCCCTCTGTAGCAACTGCTCCCTCTCCTGTTCCATCCTCCAGTTTTTCTCTGTCTCCAGCTGCTCCATTCGTTTGCAGACCTGCGTTTACTTGCAGTGCTCCAGTAGTTAAAACCAGAAAAAAAGCGAAAATTCTTTCCAACCAATACCATCCTGCCAGTATCCAAACCGGTGAACCTGCCTTCCGTGACTCAGCCTGAAGCCTCTACTCAGCCTGAAGCCTCTCCTCAGCCTGAAGCCTCTCCTCAGCCTGAAGCCTCTCCTCAGCCTGAAGCCTCTCCTCAGCCTGATGCCTGCATTCAGCCTGATGCCGCTACTCAGCATGATGAACTGATCCAGCCCGACGATCCTATTAGGCCAGTTGACTCGATGCCCGCTGTTGATCCAGATGATCCGGTACCTGATCCAGTGCCCGCTGTCGTGCCAATTGACTCAGAGCCCGCTGTCATACCTGGTGACCCGGTGCCCACTGCCTTGCCAGATGACGCGGTGCCCGCTGGCAAGCCAAATGACCTGATGCCTGGTGACCCAGTGCCCGCTGTCATACCTGGTGACCCGATGCCCGCTGTCGAGCCAGACAATCCGATACCTGATGACCCGGTGCCCACTGTCGTGCCTGTTGACTCGGAGCCCACTGTCTTGCCAGACGACTCGGTGCCCGCTGTTCCGCCAGTCGACTCGGTGCCCGCTGTTTCCGCCAGTCGACTCGGTGCCCCGCAGTCTTGCCAGACGACTCGGTGCCCGCAGTCTTGCCAGACGACTCGGTGCCCGCAGTCTTGCCAGACGACTCGGTGCCCGCAGTCTTGCCAGTTGACTCTATGCCCGCTGTTCCGCCAGTTGACTCGGTGCCCGCAGTCTTGCCAGACGACTCGGTGCCCGCAGTCTTGCCAGACGACTCGGTGCCCGCAGTCTTGCCAGATGACTCGTGCCCGCTGTTCCGCCAGTTGACTCAATGCCCGCAGTCTTGCCAGACGACTCGATGCCCGCAGTCTTGCCAGACGACTCGATGCCCGCAGTCTTGCCAGACGACTCGGTGCCCGCAGTCTTGCCAGACGACTCGGTGCCCGCAGTTTCCGCCAGTTGACTCGATGCCCGCTGTTCCGCCAGTTGACTCGGTGCCCGCAGTCTTGCCAGACGACTCGGTGCCCGCTGTTCCGCCAGATGACTCGGTGCCCGCAGTCTTGCCAGATGACTCGGTGCCCGCAGTCTTGCCAGACGACTCGGTGCCCGCAGTCTTGCCAGACGACTCGGTGCCCGCTGTTCCGCCAGACGACTCGGTGCCCGCAGTCTTGCCAGACGACTCGGTGCCCGCAGTCTTGCCAGACGACTCGGTGCCCGCTGTTCCGCCAGTTGACTCGATGCCCGCAGTCTTGCCAGTTGACTCGGTGCCCGCTGTTCCGCCAGTTGACTCGATGCCCGCTGTTTCGCCAGTTGACTCGGTGCCCGCAGTCTTGCCAGACGACTCGGTGCCCGCAGTCTTGCCAGACGACTCGGTGCCCGCTGTTCCGCCAGTTGACTCGGTGCCCGCCGCTTCGCCTGGGGGCCCGAGACCTGTTGCTCCGCCTGAGGGCCCGAGACCTGTCGTCTCCATCTGGGGGTCCGGCGCCCGCCGCTCCGCCTGAGGGCCCGAGACCTGTCGCTCCGCCTGGGGGCCCGAGACCTGTCGCTCCGCCTGGGGGTCCGGCGCCCGCCGCTCCGCCTGAGGGCCCGAGACCTGTCGCTCCACCTGGGGGTCCGGCGCCCGCCGCTCACGCCTGAGGGCCGGAGACCTGTCGCTCCACCTGGGGGTCCGGCCGCCCGCCGCTCCGCCTGAGGGCCCGAGACCTGTCGCTCCGCCTGGGGGCCCGAGACCTGTCGCTCCGCCTGGGGGCCCGGCGCCCGCCGCTCCGCCTGGGGGCCCGGAGCCTGTCGCCCCTCCCGGGGGCCCGGTGTGCCTGTCGCCCCTCCCGGGGGCCCGGTGCCTGTCGCCCCTCCCGGGGGCCCGGTGCCTGTCGCCCCTCCCGGGGGCTCGGTGCCTGTCGCCCCGCCCGGGGGCCGGTGCCTGCCGCCCCGCCCGCGGTGGCCCGCTGCCTGCTGCTTCGCCTGGTAATCCGATGTGCCTCTGCCCGGAGTCCTGCCCGATGTGCCTCTGCCCGGAGTCCTGCCCGATGTGCCTCTGCCCGGAGTCCAGCCCGATGTGCCTCTGCCCGGAGTCCAGCCCGATGTGCCTCTGCCCGGAGTCCAGCCCGATGTGCCTCTGCCCGGAGTCCAGCCCGATGTGCCTCTGCCCGGAGTCCAGCCCGCGATGTGCCTCTGCCCGGAGTCCTGCCCGATGTGCCTCTGCCCGGAGTCCTGCCCGATGTGCCTCTGCCCGGTGTGCCTTTGCCCGGTGTGCCCCTGCCCGGTGTGCCGCTGCCCTGAGTCCTGCCCGGTGTGCCAGTCTTTGATATCCCGCCAGTTTACCAGACCCGGGCTGCGGTGGAACATTTTGCCCAGCTAGGACTGTTTGGAGCGTCCTGAGGCCGCTCCTTGAGGGGGGGGTACTGTCAGGAATGGACTAGCCAGCAATGGTGGGACTCACCTGCCTTTTGATCTGCAGTACCAGGGCTGGCCAGCGGGTGCTCCCAGCAATCAGAGACTCAACTTTGCAGCCAGCTAACACCTGGAACTGATTATGCTGGGGTATTTAAGGGATGGCCAGACTTGCAGACTCTGCCTTGGTGTTGTGTTCTTTTGGGCCCTGTTCCTGTTCCTGCTCTCTGTTCCTGTCTGATTCTCTGCTGACCCTGCTCTGATCCCTGGCTTGTCTGACCATCCCTCTGCCTGACCCTCTGTACTACGCTGCTTGCTACCTGTTCTGATCCCTGGCTTGTGACCCCGACCATCCCTCTGCCTTACCCTCTGTACTACGCTGCTTGCTACCTGCTGAACCTGGCCTGTGACCCCGACCAATCTCCGCTTGCTCCCCCTGTACCTACCTGCCCTATTGATATTGACCCGGCCTGCCTGACGACGCTTGCTTGTATGTACTGTTATCTGTGGGTGGTTGGTTTGGTTGCACTGTATTATGTTTTAGTATTGCACTGCGTTTATGTTTGTATTGTTAGTGTTAATAAATTATATTGTTTATAACATATCTGAGGTCTGCGTTTCCCTGCGTCAGCCACACACCTCTGGTCACACCTGGGAGCCCTGACACTGTCCGCAGTCTCTGGACATCCCCTGTACTGTCCGCAGTCTCTGGTCATCCCCTGTACTGTCCGCAGTCTCTGGTCATCCCCTGTACTTTCCGCAGTCTCTGGTCATCTCCTGTACTGTGTCCGCAGTCTCTGGTCATCTCTCTGTACTGTGTCCGCAGTCTCTGGTCATCTCCTGTAGTATGTCTGCAGTCTCTGGCCATCTCCTATACTGTGTCCGCAGTCTCTGGTTACCTCCTGTACTGTGTCCTCAGTCTTTGGTCACCTCCTGTACTGTGTCCTCAGTCTCCGGTCATCTCCTGTACTGTGTCTGTAGTCCTCTGGTCATCCCCTGTACTGTCCGCAGTCTCTTGGTCATCCCCTGTACTGTCCGCAGTCTCTTGGTCATCCCCTGTACTGTCCGCAGTCTCTGGTCATCCCCTGTACTGTCCGCAGTCTCTGGTCATCCCCTGTACTTTCCGCAGTCTCTGGTCATCTCCTGTACTGTGTCCGCAGTCTCTGGTCATCTCCTGTACTGTGTCCGCAGTCTCTGGTCATCTCCTGTAGTATGTCTGCAGTCTCTGGCCATCTCCTATACTGTGTCCGCAGTCTCTGGTCACCTCCTGTACTGTGTCCTCAGTCTCCGGTCATCTCCTGTACTGTGTCTGTAGTCTCTGGTCATCTCCTGTACTATGTCTGCAATCTCTGGTCATCTCCTGTACTATGTCTGCAGTCTCTGGCCATCTACTGTACTATGTCTGCAGTCCATTGGTTCAGAATATTTTTTTTCTTGTTTTCCGCCTCTAAAACCTAGGTGCGTCTTATAGTCAGGTGCGTCAATGGAGTGAAAAATATGGTAGGTTGTTCCAAACATCTTGGAGAACTAACCACAGATCTGTAGTCTGCCTCAAATCCTGCTGTCTCTTCATGACTTTTCCTGATTCAACTATGCACAAAAACATAGGTAATGGGGTGCAGAAAAATGGCAGCAAATGCTCTGGACTGATGAGTCAACATTTGAAATAGTTGGCTGAAGCAGGAGGCAGCTTGTTTGCAAAGGTTTGGAAAGTGGTACAAAAATGAGTGTCTGCAGGCAACAGTGAAGAAGCATGGTGGAGGTTCCCTGTGAGTTTGGGGCTACATTTCTGCAAATTTAGTTGGAGATTTGGACAGAATCAATGGAGTCCTCAATGCTGAGAAATCCAGGCAGATATTTATCCATCATATCGTACCATCAGGGAGGTGTGTGACTGGCCCAAATTTATCTTCAATGTAAAGAAGAAAAAGGAGTCCTAGAAGTGACGGCTTGGTCCCCAAAGAGCCCCGATCTCAATATCATCGAGTCTGTCTGGGATTATATGAAGAGAGAAAGAAGGATATGAGGCAGATTACATCCACAGAAAATCTGTGGTTAGTTCTCCAAGATGTTTGGAACAACCTATCTGCCAATTTCCTTCAAAAATGTGAGCAAATGTACCTAGAAGAATTGATGCTGTTTTAAAGGCAAAGGGTGGTCACACCAAATATTGATTTGGATTTCGTTTTGATTCATTTACCTTACATTTTAATAGTGGATAAAAATAAACTATTAACACTATTGCATTTTGAAAGCATTCTTAATTTCCAATTTTTTTTTGCTCCTGCCTAAAGCATTTGCACAGTACTGTATATTTACTTCAGGTATTTATGTATAGCGCCGACAATATATGCAGTGCTTTACATAAATATTGTACATTCACCTCAGTCCCTGCCCTCAAGGAGCTTACAATCTAAACTCCTGTGTGTACAAACATATACTAAAGCTAATCTAGACAGGGGCCAACTAACCTACCAACAGGTCATTGGATTCAAAAGGGAAGAGTGACATTTTGGTGGCTTTAAGGCTGCAATGGTGTTTATTTAGATTTTAAGGGACATATTTTGAAATCAGCATTGCAACTCACAAACACTCATGCTTGGTTGATGTTTCAATACAATTAAAACACTTGTATCAGGAAGATTCACCTGCTTTGAATATTTGCCGAATGTCAAATTCTTTTGTTTAAAAATATGTTTGTGTTTTTTCTGCTTAATTGTTTGAGTATTTTTATTGTATTTTTAAGGTTTATTAAATTGGAAAACAAAATGGGAAAAACATAAATGTTAAATTTAAAAAGGTATTACACCATTTTTAGTACCATAGTTTTTACATAATAAAATAATTTTAACAACAGAATAAAAATAAATAAATAAACAAAACACAACAAATTCCCCTGTATTTAAAATTTTGCTATTTTTAACACCAATGTTTTTTTTATATTATTTGATGAATAATTAGTAGTGATGAGCCGAACTGTCCTGGGTTCAGTTTGAGCAGGGATGGCGAAATCAATGGGAGCAGAATCTGGGCTAATAGGCAAGGGGTATCAAAAATCATAGTATGTGGGGGAAGGGGGGGGGGGGTGGACACTGCCCACGGGAACAGGTACCAATACAAAAAGCATTTAAAAAATCTATTTGGCCAGGATCATTGATTTTTTTTAAATGTTTAAAATTAAAAATGTCCAATTCCTGTAAATAACATGCTTGGGGCTTCCTAATCTTCCCTGTGAAGTGGTGCATCTCTGTGATGTACAGAAATTGTTGCAGCAGCACAGACGTTTACAAAGGAGAAAAGTTTTAAAATTGCTGGCAAAAGACTTTGACAGCTGTAACTGACAACTTCTTTGTTTTGAAAAAAAAAAAAAATATAAAAATATCACGCAGATCCTTTCTAAGGGTTTGCTATGTATATTGGGGGACCTTTTGATTGTTTTTTAAAGAAGCTGGTGCACTGAATGTCATTTGCTGATAATTTAAACCGTATCATTTTTTTCTTA